ACCCCCCCCCACCCCCCACCCCATCCCCCAAAAGCCTCTTTTGCCAAACTGCAATGAGGACAAGGTCATAGTTGCCTTTTCTCTGAATAACAAATTCCAGTAAGAACCGTTTACAAAAAGCATCTCAGAGACACTACAACCCTCTCAAGTGAACAGTGTGACATCAGAGGTCACACTTACCCTCATGAGTTATTACTGTGAGTTCAATTGAACTGACTTTCTATCCAGCACCATTATCAGGTCAAAATTTTCATTTGTCCAATACTTAAAATGAATCACATTCCCATCAGCCTCAGCTGTTCGTGATTAGTGCTAATTAGCAACTCTTAGCATTAAAGCTGAAACATTGAATCCATCCAGGCAGATACATCGACCAATATCAGCGTATTGTAGATACAGTGTATTGGATCAGGACACACACAGTAACAAGAAATTGCAACACAGAAACGTCTAATCAGGTCATTTAGAAACTCTCACCGTCAGTTTGTCCAACAGAGAGATTGTAAAATGTTTACTTAGCATGTATGTTAGCATACGATACAATGATTAACTTCAAACATTCAGCCTTGGTCAGGCTATGGTTAGCGAGCTAACATACTAAACTAAGAGGGTGAACATGACACCTGCTAAACATCAGCATGTTAGCGTGGGCACTGTGAGTATGCTAGCATGCATTAACATTTAGCTCAAAGTACCACTACAACCTCAGTGAGCTGCCAGCATGGCTCTGGACTCTTGATGATGACATTGATGATGATGATGCTGATGATGATACTGAGGATGATATGGAAACCGTGGTTCTTCATGGTCTTCATGATCCTCAACTCTTGTGTTTTCAGGATCAACCACCTGCACTACCCGCCTGACGAGTATGAAGAGAACCCTGAGTTGGCTGGTTATGAAGATGGAGACTATGACCAAGATTACCACAGTGACAACAGGTAAATCACATGTTCAAACACACACACACACACACACACACACACACACACACACACACACACACACACACACACACACACACACACACACACACACTGTTGACCAGCTCTCACCCCTCAAGTGATGAATTAAATCAGCCATCTGTTATCTCCTTCACATGGCCTCTGGGTGTTTCCTTTGATAATACCCATGAACATACAACTGATATCAGGGCAAAAGTGCTCTTCAATCTACTAGCAAAGCTGATGCCCAGTAACAGCGTGCACCCAGAAAAAACAAACAATAAACAGCCATTATTATTTATGTAAAGCCGTAATGCAGATGGTCATTTAGATCATGTTTTCTGCTTGTGTCACTTTACCGACAAGACTAAGTGTAATTTCCTTGAAGCAATTTCCTGTTTCCATTGTGAGATGTATTGAATGAATATTGTGTGTTATGGCAGAATGAACTGTGGAAATGAGAAAATACACACTTATCGTCTTGTTATTGGCACTGCAGCAAATAACTATAATCAGAAATTTATTCCTTTTGAAAATGATTATTATAACAATCACTTGTAAATTATTTCTGCCTTTCTCGCTCTCCATCTCGATCGCCCTCTCCTTCTGTCTTTATGTGGCCAATTCAGAGTGAAGAGGAAATCAAGCAGCTCTCCATCCCCGCGTCCAAAGAAAAGGAAGAAGAAGAAATCCGGCCGCCGAAGGAGTCGGTGAGTGGAAACAGCTTCTACTGATGAAGTCGTTCGATTTTTCTTTTTTTTTTTTTTTATCTCTCAGCCTCGTTGACAGAGTAATTACACTGTGGTTTTGTGAAACGGAATTCCAATTATTTTCCTGTGAATATTGCAAACGAGCCATCAGATACTGCAGTTGTGTGTGTGTGTGTGGGGGGGGGAGGATATCTGTAGTGAGTGATTAGCAAAGCATAGTCTCGTCTTCCATTTTCTCTTGACAAGGTCAGCAAAAGGAGAGAGAGAGAGAGTGAAGGAGGAAGTAGACTGGTGGTAAAGAGAAGAAAGAATAAGTGGGGAAAGGCAGGAGGATGAATAGAGCTGGGCACAAAGAGAGCCAGCTGAGCTACTGTAGGATGACACCTGCGCTCACCCCTCTGAGGTGTAATGTTATGTAGCACAATGACAAGTGAAAGGCCAGGATTTAACTGCAATCTGAGGCTCATTTTACAGTCATTGCATGCAAAAGATGTCCTCCCTCTCTCCATCAATAGGTTTGGCAGCTCCTCGCCCACTCGCAGAGAGAAGAAGAAAAAGAGTGGGAAGAAACACAAGCGAGACAGGTGAGTGTGTACATAACATGTGTGAGCGTCATCAGTGATGTGTCATCCCAAGAAAGACTCTGACTTTTCAAAGGTTTGTCAACAGCTGCCATCACAGTGATGGTTGATCAGAGATGTAGTCACACCTTTGATGTTTCACTTACTGGAAATAAAAGTGAATAAAGTAAATAGCTGCTCACTGGGGAATATTCAAAAATTACAGAGTGTTTCAGATGTTTTTCTGTTGGTTACATTTTTCTCTTGTATCTGTTGCCTCTTTGTTCAATAGTTCAACAATTATTGTGTAGGAAGGAAGGAGGGAGGAAAGGAATGGAGGAAGAAAGGAAGGAAGGGAGGAAGGAAGAAAGGGAGGACAAAGGGAAGAACAAGGAAAGGGAAGAGGAAAAGGAAGAGAGGAAGAAAAGGAAGAAGTAAAAAAAACTAAGGAAGAATAAAAGGAAGAAAAAGGACGAGAAGAAAGAAAGAAAGAAAAAGAAAGAAAGAAGGAAAGAAAGAAAGAAAGAAAGGCAGAAGGAAATTTGGAGGGTAAAGGGAAAAGAAGGAAGAAAGGAAAGGAGTTAAAGAAAAACTAGAGGGGAAGGGAAGAAAGACAAAATTCAAGGAATAGAGGATGAAAAAGAGAGACAAGAAGAGAATGAAAGGGAATGGAGGAAGAGGGAGAAAGAGAGGCCTCCAGGAAGAGAACAATGAAAGAATTAAAGACATAAGTAAAAGAGAAGAAAGAATAGAAGGAAGGAAGGAAGGAAGGAAGGCAGGCAGGCAGGCAGGAAGGAAGGAATCAAGGAAGGAAGGAAGGAAGGAAGGAAGGAAGGAAGGAAGGAAGGAAGGGTTGCAAAGACTCTAAGAAGAAAGATAGAAGGGAGGAAGAGATGGGAAAAGAGCACGAGCTCATCAGCAGATACCTGTGCAGTGCCTCTGGATATCATAATGACAATAAACAATGGTAGAGTGCCCTCCTCCCCCAGTTCCTCTCGTCCTCCGCCTGACTCGGGGGGAGCGGGGCTAAATGTGTTGCTCTAATAACCCAGCCTGGATGGGGGGGGGGCGCACAATAAGAAGAAACAAGAAAAATGAGCCTCTCACCAAATTGCTGAGCATCACTGCACTGCCCCGCTCCTGTTTCCCACCTCTCATCCATCCACACACATCCCAGTCCCCCTCACCCTCTCCCCTCACCCCCCCACACCTCCCTCCCAGCCTCACACCAAAGCTACTCTGCATTGCAGGTACTGTTTTTATATGAATAATGTATAGATGAGGCAGGGGGGTGAGCAGCATGCAGGGTTCCTCCCCCAGAGACGGCCTCCTTTGATGCTCTTTTTTAAGGTGCACTTTAGGGGGGCGGGATTAAATTCATATGGCTGCTTGTTTGTAATGTACTGCTCACTGTAAAATAATAGCTCCAGGTTGGGCTCCCCCTTTTCATGCGTATTTCTCTCACATCTTCCGTCCATGTCTTTGTGTAAGAGGGAAAGGCGAGGGATTTAGCTATGACCAGAGTGTGTGAGAGAGGAGAAGAATAATGAGCCCTCCAAAATGTCACCTCATATTCAGTGGTCCCCAGATGACTCCCTCCAGTGGGGACACACAAGCTGCTACTGGGGCCACAGCTCTGAGTCACATATCAGCCACATACATTACTGTGACAGCTTTATTACTCCCCTTTCAGTGAATCAACACACTTTGTTGCCGCCGCTCCCTCCCACTCCATGCTGCATGCTGTAGGTGTGTAAAACAGCAGGGGAGATGAAGGGCTCTTCAGGAAAATAGCAACAACTCTCACAGACCGGTCTGACTAATCACCATGGAAACTGCAACGAGGGTGAAAGCGATATGGAGGTGATGTGTCAGTTGCTGAGGACTGAGGAATGGCCGGCCTCCCCATCATTATACTCAATACATGGTTAAAGGGAAAACTGCCACAGAAGCTCTGAGTTTCTTATTCCAGCTTTTTTTTGCAGGGAGCAGCAGCAGCTTCTGCAGCCAGAAATAATAATAATAAAAATAATAAGTGTGACATCCTGCACCTGTAGAATAAAAACTGGAAAAGCGTGCTGTGAGAGCCCCCCCTGGAGACATCTCTGCACATATAGATGTGTGCATGCGATTCAGACTGGCTAACGCAGGGAGGGGGGCTCACATGTGCATCGACAAAACTGCAGAAACACATGCTGAAATATTCCATGTATTAGTTGCCAGATAACCTGCATGATCCCTCTGCTGTTACAGAATCTTGAACATGCTTATATTATGTGATTCACACTCTGTGTGTCTGTGTCTGTGTTTGTAATATTAATAGCACTGCTCACATTTATATGTTATATTTTTTGTCATCAAATATACACAGAAGTCAAATTGAGCCCGTCCAGAATATGAGATATTATCTGTTTCTTCAGTGTAAAAATACTGACGCCAAATGAAGCTCAGCTGCATGGGAAGCTTAGACACAGCAGCTTCATGTAGTCTCAATATTCTTTAGGGTGAATTTGAAAATATGACAATAAAAATATGGTATGAAAAAAACGTGGCGCACAGATTGATGACAGCACAGATTAGATTTTGGGATCAGCCTCCAGCGTTTGTTCAAAAACAACCTTGGATCTCCTAGAAACTATTCCAAGGAGCAGGTTTAGTAATTTCCCAGAACCACCATCAAATCTGGAACATGGACTGATGTAAATGTGTCATTTCTGGGTAAAAGGTAAACCTGGACAAGTTATCCAGATTACTCAGTCAACCTGCTTCTTCGCACAGCCGCTGGTCGACGGTTGCAGTACTGTATATGAATGATTCATGTAGCCGTCACGTCATCATCATTATAATGATTGCGGCTTTTTTTGTTTTTGTAGATCTGCATCTGGCTCCAGGAAAAAGCGAAGATACAGGTGTGTATGAAAGACGAGAACACTGCAGCATAACAAGATCAGAGCTGTTAACAACGTTGTTCATGACAGTGTGCAGCAAAGCCAATGCTGCAAATTAGTTCTCTCATGTAAGGTGTGTGTTATTTTCCTTTCTGCCTGTTTTCACTGTTGACTTTTTGGGCAAAAATCCATATGGGGGAGCAGAACAGTGAGTTGTGTTTTTACAAAGGGAATCTTCACTGCTTTAATGTGCACAGCTTCATTATCTTACACATGACGTCTGTTTCAGATCGGGCAGCCCAAAGAACAAACACAAAGACAAGAATAAACAGAAAAAGAGGTGAGACGCTCACAGAATCCCTCTTATACCATTTACATGTTAATGCTGAGCGCGCTGAAACCTGCAGCGTATGTAGCCTCACATTGATTATCTGATGATGATATTTTCAGCAGTTTGTCCTCTGCACACAGTAAAACAAACAGTGACCAATCATCTCAGCCCTCAACAACCACCACTGAATCACGTTCAGTCCCTCATAAATTTATATTGGTATTTTACACTCATTATCTCAGACTCACACAGAATGTTAGTAAGCATACAGCACCGAGTGCATCTCCTGAGCATCACGTGTGAGTTCAACACAACATCAGCGCCACACCCGTCTTAATTAGGTACATATTGACAGTGTTTGGCTGTGCATGAACTGTTTTACATACCGCTGGATTGACTACTGAGCTCGCTGTGGCATGTGTGTTTCCCTGTGATATATGCATACATACATACACATGGCTTTGTGTATGTATATGTATGCATGCGTGTGTGTGGTGTGTGTGTGTGTGTGTGCGTGCGTGATGTGTTTGTCCATTTGTTGTCATCCATCAGGTCCCCCGGTGAGACCCCAGGTAGGAGTTCACAGCGTCAAGGCAGCTGCTGCAGCTCCCGCAGCGCCTCCCTGTCCTCCACCCGGAGCACCTCCAAATCTCCCGCCAGGTAGACTCCTCCTCACACACGCATTCACACATACGCCTCGTTTGCTCACACACTACTACTGAGTGTCCAGCGGTTGCCCTGGTGACTGTCAGTCCCTCTCTCTCATTTACTCTCGGCCCCCTGAGAATAGAGTAGGATACAGCACGTCTTATGATAACCCCCCTTAGATGAATGTGATGTCTCACTCTGCGCCTCTGGAGAGTTTGGTCATTTAAAAAGCAGAATATACTGTTTGTTCAAGTGAAGTGAAATGTCCAGTGTCATGTTTCTGATGCTAGGGCAAATCAGTTTGTAAAGGGGCAGTTAGTAAGACCTCTACTCTTCTGCAACTATTCTGATAATCAATTACTCGTTTGAGACATTTTCTTTGTGTAAAACATTTCTTGTGGTTCCCAGTCGTAAAGATTTGCTGATTTTCTCTGTTTGTTATTGTTGGAAAAGGAATATCTTTGGGTTTTGGACTGTTGGTAGTCACCTTGGAGGTTAGCTTTTATTCTTTCTGAATAAGAAGAAGAAGAAGAAGAAGAAGAAAATATTAAAAGTTTGAGAGCAGGAATAAAACTGAAGGATTTCTACTTTTATTTTCAAATACAAAATGTCGCTGTGAGCACTTTTCTGACGGTTAACTCACGTTGTTCCTCAGGGAGTGGGCTGGCTGTGCTTTACCTCTCGTGTTGCTGTGTCTTCCAGACTGAACTCCAAGCACAAGACGGACGGACAAAAGGCGTCCGGCACCTCGCTGTCCCCGGGCCCCAACAGTCCCGCCACGTGGCACAACGGGGACCCCACCCAGCGAAGCCGCAACGGCAAGGCCAGCAGACTCAACCACGTCGAGGGCGAGAAAGGGCACGATGTATGTAATCTCCTCTATTTTGCTCCCACACCCCCACCCTCCCCCACTCCCCCCCACCCACTCCAACGGTATCTACCACAGTCTTTACAGATGAGTTTTATCTTGCTCTTTTGTGTTGGTTGACATGAATTATCATCTTCTTTGATACTGAAAGATTTTTTTTGTTCTTTTACCAGTTCTTCCAGGACAGTTTTTATTATCAACATGATTATTTTTGACGTATAAAAGACACTTCTGTCCTGTGTAAAAGTTGCCGCTCCTGCTGCTTTGTTTCTGGCTCTCTTGACTCCTCTGCCATCTTGTTTTTTGTTTGTTCTTGTTGTTCCCCGGTAACGGAGGGAGGGAGCAAAGACATCCTCTGAGTCAGAGCACAGCATTAGCATACAGCACCACGGATGGAAATATGAGCCACACTGGCACACACTGTTTCCAAATGAATGAGCAAAAAGATTGTTGTTTCTTCCAAGCGGGTGCCTGCTACGGCAAAAGACAAATAAAAAAACAAGTTGAGTGAGGCGTAGGTATGTCTGCCTCAAACATCCCCCCCCCCAAAGGTCCATGTCCATGAAGAAATATCAAAGGAAACGTGTCTATTAGGAATAAAAAATTTTGCAGATAAAGTCTTAATTAACCAATGTTGAAGCGATCAGACGTCTGATGGTGCTTTGTGATAACAATTTGCAATTCCTCCTTGAACTGACTAATCCAATTACTTAATGGAAAGTCTTGATCCAAGTATATCTAAATGAACTATGATAAAATATAGCTACAGTGCAGCTCACCATAGGTATCAGCTGTTTCTGCTGGGGAATATGGGAGATTTAAAATGCCTAAATAAAAAAATAAAAAATCTGAACTAAGAAAGTGAAATACAGAATCACAATGTAATATGTATTTCCTCTTATGTATGCATTTACTGTCATAATCAAATGAAAAATATAACCTTAGCTTTTTGTCTTAAACTGAATTGTAATCACAGTGAAATGAAAGTTAGCACCGTCATTAGTTTTCATGAGACACATCATGCAGATCTGTCTTTATTTAAACTGGAAGGTCATTGAGGGTAAAGCCCTCATTTACAACGATATCAAGTTCATAAAAATACCAGTTAAAAAAAGGACATAAAATTAAATTAAATACAATTAAAAAATAATGTAATGACAAGAATCAATTAAAACAGGTGCAAATAGAAGTGTAGAGGCCAGAGATAAATGAGGCTTTGTAGTGAGTTTCAGGTGGACGGTGCAAAAAAGAGAAGAATGAAAAACAATCAACTGTCCAATCACAGCTTAGGAGCAGAACATTAAAACTGCTTCCTGCGGGCTAACACCACCGCTGACTCGACATCTAGTTACCTCGGTCACTGAGAAGTCTCAAAGCTGCTTAAAGCTCGATCAGAAATGTAGCTAAATGTAAAGTCAATAGTAAAAGCTCAACAACTGTGCTTTTAATTTCAGTACATTTTAACTATGACACTGTTAATGCAAACAAAAAAAAAAAACACAACAAAGTATATTGTGTTTTCTTTGATGTTTTTATTTCAGCATTATGAATCTCCCACAGATGGACCCGTTGTACTGAATGGGTTGCAACTTTATTTTATCTTTATTTTTAAAAAAAAACAAAACAAGCAACCAGCACCACACACGCTTCACAGTACGATCATAAAGCCTGAAGTTTTATAGATTGTACATGAACTGCTCCTCGTTTGTTTCTGTTAGTCTCTTAAAGACACTGTGATGCGTTTTACATGACCTGCTGCCGTTATGAAAACAACCTTGCTCTGCCGTACTGTAAATGCATCATTACAGCTACAGTAGGATGACAGCCATTATGTTGGAATAAAACAAGCCATCACTTAGACAAAGGGAGCACTTGAGAAACAAACGTCTTCTGATGAACAAGCATCTAAATGGGCTGCAAACATCCTGCAAACACTTCCTCCAGAGAACTGATGTCTCCTATTTTCCACTCCAGCTTGCATGTGTCTGAGGTCTCATCTGATCTCTCTCTCTCTCTTTTCTCTGTCATTACTGTTTCTTTTTTTTCCTTATCAATATAAGTGGTATTTACCCATGAATAAATGCCCAAATCTTTCTGTCTCATTTATATAAAAAGCACTCAATTGCTTTGGAACTGGACCAAGTAGGTTAACTGGGTACGTGAAATAGTTTCTTTTTGTCAATACAGTTGTCTTTCTTCTCAAGCACATGCTCTGCTCAGTGATAGATGCTCTTCTCCTCCAGACGTCCAACAGCTCCTGCCAAAAGCACCAGGGGTTAAACACATGCTCCTCTCTACTGCTTTACTTTACCATGTCGATGTGCATGTTGCCCCTAGGTGGCAGTATCTCTTCTGTCCCTGACGTTCTGTTTCCAGTTTATCTGTCCAGGCCAGTGGGGAATGGCAAGGGATGTCTGTTAGATCATGTTTCTTTTTAGCCCTTCAGGTGGGATGTAGTGAAAGAGGACGCTTAATTGGCTCGCATTTTTTAAACAGCATCTTTGTAGCATAAGGTGATGCTGCCCCACACTCTTGTTAATCTCCACCAAAGGCTAAAATATGTCATACTAATCCTCAAACTGGAGTCTTTGCACAGGAGGATGGTCAAGTGTAACAGATCCTGGATCTAACTGAAGTCTGATTTTACTGCAGCAGTTGTGTGGTTTAGCAAATGTTCTGTATAGCAGCTCTGGTTCTCTATCCATCAGCTCAGTTTGTGTTCCTGTAGTCGCCCCCTAGCCCCGTTTGGGACTGTCTCACCCACTACAGGGGAGACAGTCCTGGATGCTTCGCCACAGAGAAGCTCAGGGAAGCAGCTTTGCACTTCTCTTTATCGGAGGTGGGAAAGTTGAGCCGACGTGTATTCGCCTAACCGACCACGTAGTGCCAGGTCATGCCATAAAAGAACTAGTTGGTGCGATGTGTTGTTTTTACTCTACACAGTTTGTATAATGAAAAAGAACAGACTGTCTGATTTGGCAAATACAGGTGTGTTTAACATCCCCATCTCTGAGGAAGAGCAGCGCACACACACTTTCCTCAGCTTGTTTGGAAGCATCTGAGACTGTCTCCCACGCAGTTGTTGAGATAGTCCCAAACAGGGCCAGTCATCCTCGTGCTCATTAGTAAAAGATTTATTCAAACACTTGAAACACAAGCACACGGACTCTTGAAACTAACTAGGACAACTCACACCTTTGTTAACATGATTGTTATTTTAAAGGGACCCAAGCCATTTTGAATGGTAGCTCCCTCTTCACTTTTAAGAGTTTAAACAGCAGATTGGACAAAGCTCCACAAGGCTCCCTCTCACCGTACCTGTGTTTATCCTGATATATAAATGAAAAAGAAGTGCTGCTGCTGAAGAAGACCCAGGCCAAAATGTGACTGGGGTCCCTTTCAAATGTGCTTACTTTCTTAGTTGTCCATCTTAGCAGTGACTGCCCCCTCCAACACTCTTCTACCCCCGTCTCCTCCTCTCCTACCTGTTCATCTGTGTCCTGTGTGACTCACGTCTCACTCTTGTTGTCCTGGCATTTTTCTTCCCACTTATCTTTCATATCTGCCAGCTCTGCATGCCCCCTCCCTCCCCCACCCCCTCCTCCTTCTCCTCCTCCTCCTCCTCCCTTCAGCTACTCTACTCTACATGGATGTCCACTAATATGACAATTAACTCTATCCGCTTACCTCTACCCCACCCCCCCACCCCGTTTTGATACAAATATGGCTGCATTTGTACAAGCGAAAAAGACAAAGCAAATCATGTAGGTTTTTAGATTCATCCTTTGTTTCTAATTTTACTTTGATTTTGAATTCCATGTGGATTTTTTATTTTTCTCCCCTCTATTTTCTTTATACTTTTTGGTTTGTTTAGTTCTCCTTAGTCTCTGGACTAAATATGTAGCTTTGATACTAAAAGAGGTCATTGTCTTTTTCCCATTTCGCTGCGGAGAACATTCCTTTCTCCCTTTTTTCTTTTTTCTTTCTTTCCTTTTTTTTGTTGATATTGCATACGTGTCACTGATTGAAATGGAAGGTAGGTAATGCTTTGCCTACGCACGTGATCTTTATGCAGATGAGAATGTGACAAGCACCCTAGCCTGAGTGACGTCAATGTTTCTCTCTCTCTTTCTCTTTCTCTCTCTCTCTCTCTTTCTGTTGTTTACCAATGGTCTTTAACCAAATTAATTTGACTTCATCAATTATGATTTGACTCTTGAAAGATTGGATTACGTAGAGCTCTGGTTTTTCTCTTTCCTCCTTAACTTCATTCTGAAGTCCAATATCCCGCTCTATTATCCAGGTCCATTTCTTTCCATTTTTGTTTTCTTTCTGTTTTGGTAGAATGCATTCCTGTTTGTCCAGCATCTCTCTGTTTGTTGGTGAATTAGTACATTCGTCTTATGATTTTCACCATATTGATTTCCACGACCTTTTCTAACAACTGTCATAAACACCAGTGGTTGTGTCTTTTCTTATTATATCGCTTAGTTGTCTTCTCCCGAGTGGAGGACGGCTCTTCTTTCTGCAAGGATCAGTCGGCGCTTTTGCTATATCTTAGATTACAAAGCAGTTCAGACAGCACATGATAATGCATGCGGAAGAGCCGGCTGTGTTTGGTTTCATATAAAAGGCCTTTTGGAGATTTACCCTCTTTTTTTTCTGACCTGCTTGGAATGAGCAGTGTACTGTGAACTGTGCATCATGTTTCAGTCCCTAAACTCCACCTTTATCACTTTCCAAGGTCTGTTTATGTTGAATACTTAAAACAGGGGTTTTAATATATTATAACATCAGTCTCTACCATACACAGTTTAAAGGATAAGGCTGATATTACTCTGTATTTCTCACTATTAACAAATCCCTTGCAAAGACCTGAACCAACAGTGTGTCAGTACATCCCGGCTTCCCCACCCTGTCTGTGGCACTCAGCCACAAACCTCTTACTTCCTACAGCAGATGGAATATTTTTAAAAAGCTAGTTTCATTTTGAAACAAGAGTCAACAGCCACACTAGAGGCTCTGTGGGACTGTACTTACAGTAGGTACAGCCATGCAGTGAGCTAAACGCCAATGTTAGCATGCTAACATGCTCACAGTGTTGTGTGTTGTTCATTTTGCAGAAATGTGATCATAAACCAAAGGATTGGACAAATTAAAATTCTGACCTGATGATGGCGCCAGATGAAAAGTCAAAAGGCCACCAAAGTGGTTTCAAGTTATCCTGAAGGGGATATCAATATGTGTCCCAAATGTCATGCTTACCACCCAATGATTGTCGAGACAGTTGTCGACCTCACGGTGGGGCAACAGGAAAAGTCATTTGGATTCATCAAGTGGGAACCATGAACATCTTTTCCAAATTTCATGGCAATCCATAGTGGATGAGATATTTCAGTCTGGACCAAAGCAGTTGACTGACAGGGCGATGTTGCTGTCCTTAGAGCCATGCTAGCATCCCTAGGTAAGGCACTGTAGAAAACGTCACTCAAACGGGAGTAAATGCTGCATTTGTTGGTGCTATAGTGAGTTATTCACAGAACCAGGACAGAGTGTATGTTCACTCAAAATAAACCACAGTGTGTGTGTGTGTGTGTGTGTGTGTGTGTGTGTGTGTGTGTGTTTTCCCGGTAATGAAGGCACCCAGTGCAACAGTGTGACTCACTTTTGTTTTTGGAAACAATGGAGCTCCACAGCACAGAGGAATCAACTATCTATCTATGCTATCATGGTAGGATCAATACATTGTTGATTTTGGTCTTTCATGAGATTCATTGACAACAAGAAAAACAGAATATTTCCAGCCTTATTCTATAAAACAGAGGTAATTTTGAAAACTAGTAGCATCAAGGTAAATGCGTCTATGCATGACACTTAGCCACGTAGCTTTTCACTTTAAAACACCAAAGGATCCGATCACATCCTTATTGTTTTATCAGTTCAATGTAATTCCACCGATCTTTCACTCACCATGTGCTGTAGGGGGGGTTCTCTTACATTAGTCATTTCCCCCAAAAAATAACCTCTGATTACTGTAAAATGTGGTTGAACCCGAGTCAGTCTCAGTAATAACCTGAACACTCGCTGTTGTTATGTGGCACTACATTACTGGAAACCTTTGTGATCACTGTAAGTGCCTCGTATCAAGGAGCCCATGAGCACAAACACTGATTGTAACCAGTAAAAGGGAAGGTAGTTATCCTGTAAACGTGTCAGCAAGTAAGAATAACACCTTCCCGGTGGTAGATACGACATGGAGAGAAAAAAAGGTAAAGAAAATACCTTTAACTCTCACCAGCCAGTTGCTCTCTGATGTTTAAGAAGGTGACTGGGCCCAGAGGATTTACTCTCTGTGTGAGGGACGCCCTGCACATTGTGGTTTTCCTCTTTGCTTTTGAGTTCTTTTCCATTGATTTCCATGCATTGTCTCATGAGTCACTGGCAGGGAAGGGTTTTGTGTCTTTTTCTCTTGCATTTTGTGAATCTAATGATGCACTTATGTTGCCCCACTTTTCCCTTTTCTTCATACCTTACCTACTAAAGGAGGGAATACCACTTTATTGGTAAGTGGATGTTAACCAGAAGGGAGTTAAACAAGAGTAACCATTAAAAAAAAACAAAGAAAATGGGTCGCTGTTCACATCTCAGCAATTGTCTTCAGGAAAAAAAATCCAGAAAGAGAAAATTGAGTAGCAGACGATTTGTTTTCTGATTCGATTGATTCAATAATTGTGATCTTTATTTTGTTCCTTCCATTTCTGTGATGTTCTGTCAAGTTGTCTTCTCTTTCTGTTTTGTTTATTTTTTTAACCATTACTAAAATAACTGAAGAAGTCCTCTTTTTCTACTCTACAAAATCTGTAGCTCTGTACTCTCTGCCTCTGCTCTTAAACTTATTTGGTTCACAGTTTTGTTTTTACTTTTTCCCTCTCTTTCTCCTCTTCCTAGTTTTTTTTGTTTGTTTTTGCGATTATGATTTCTTCAACTCATTATGGTTTTGCATGCCAAGTATTGCATGCGCTGCACCATAGAGGACTATCTATAAGCCATATGGAGAAAACCTAGATCTTTTTCTTTTAGATGTTTACCTTCTTTTGGCAAGTACACCGTAGCACTCAATCACCAGCCTGAAAACACTCTAATGCTCTTTTTGTCCTTTTTCTTTTTTTTCTTTTTTTTTTCCTTTGTTGGTCATCATTTCTCTACAGAAGCTCCATCTGCTGACTGCTAGCTCTGCAAGCATCCAGCCCACTCTGCTGAGAGAGCACAAGCTCCACAGCGCCCCCAGCAGGAGCCACACAGGACCGACGTGTGCAGCAGGAGAGGCTGGGAGTGTAGTCGGCAGGAACACAGCTGTAGGGAGCTCCGTAACCCAGACGCAAGGGAGGCGAGGGAGTCAGAGAGGCCAGAACAAGAGCTCCCACTCCCCTGCTCACAGCAGCGACTCAGCCCACTCCCAGCACAACCACGCTCACAAAGGGAGGAACTCTCGTCACCAGAGAAAGTGAGCCTTCATGCAGCCTACATGGTTCAGGCTCTTATCACTGCTGGGAGGTTTTACTTTAGTGTTGCCACTGAGAGGGAATTATTTGACATTTTCTCTTTTATACTGCCAATTGCCTTAGGACAAAAGGAGGCCACTCTTCCAAGCGTCACCACCGCTCCAGTCGGGGTCAGGCACACCACCGGAGCCCGTCAGCATCTCCGGGGCGACACACACACACGTCGGGCAGGAAGAAAGAGGAGTCTCGGAGCAAACCCAACCTCCGACAGCGCAGCAGCTCCTGGAGCAGCGGCCGTTCGTCCTCACACTCCGTATCCAGAGACAGAGGCCCCAGCAAGGCCAAGTCCCCACACAACAGACAGAACAACTCCAGGTGAAACACTGCTCCCTGTCTCACACCTCTCTGTCACCTTGTGGTTTTATTTTGCTCTCATGTGCTGATGGCGTTCTGTGTGCCGTGCAGAGAGAGGGACAGCCCTAACCGCTCCGACACCGACAGCCGAGCTCGCCGCCGCTCACGCAGCTATTCACCCATTCGCAAAAGGAGAAGAGACTCACCCAGCTTCATGGAGGCTCGCAGGATCACCAGGTAACACAGCTGTCCAGACTCAGAAAACATCCCCTGCTTTTTCCAGATTCCCAGTTGGACATAGATTTATTCACAACTCACCTACTGTGTAGAAACAGGCACCAAAGGGACACTTTGTCTTTTGAATTTTATTTTCAGCTTTTTATAAGTCTAGAATTAAAAGCACTTAAGCATGACACACTTTAATATACAATATGTCACACTCTGCGGATAAAACATTTCCCATAATTTTACAGCACTGCACTCATATTAGGGAAGAAGTCGTTCTTTTATAAATTACTACAATGACAAGCAAAAGGAATAAAATGTGGGAAGTTGTTCCTTAATAACCACCTTCAGATCCATTAAATCCTCTGTTTAGAGTAAGAGGGTGTGTGGTTTGGTAGATTTGGTTTAGTTGGAGGGGACACAAGTCAGAGGTTCTTGAACCAAACACAAAGAGTGAACACTCTGTCCTGCTTTATATACTGTATATATATATATATATATATATATATATACATATATATATGTAAATATACATACATGTTTTTGTACAGATTAAACAAACATGGTTTTACAGGTGTTTGTAGGTGGATTTTGCCACTTTTGGTTACTGTCTTTATGCTAAGCTAAGCTAAAAGCTAAAGGTTGTAGCTTTGTAGTTAGTGTACAGTGAATCAATTTTCTCATCTAATACGTGTATTTACCATTAATTGCTTTACATGTTGCAAAGAATTCAGCTATTTCCTTCCTACAGTTTTAATGTCATATTGATGCTTAAATTCTGCAATTTGTTTAGATATGAATTAATATAATAACAATGCAAGTTTTATTTGTATTTATATATTTATAAATATGTTTATTAGTGAACAAAGTTCCTCAGTACAATAGATAGAAACAAGACAACACAACAAGACTAAAAAGCTACAATAATAAACAATATAATAAGGTAAATAAAATGCTATAATAAGATAATAAAAACCTACAATATACTCTACATAACAGTAAGGATGTTAAATTAATATAGAAATGAAGTATGATTAGAATGGTGAAGTGGAATATGATGACATGATTTATTTAGTCTGAGACTGATTAGATTGGGAGTATGTTTGTTTCTTGTTTCTTCCTCTGCAGATGAAAACATGTTTGAATAAGAGTCACCTCTGTACTTTCTCATAAGAGTGTAAATAGTCATGGGTGAAATGTGTGTACCTTGTCGTCTTTTACTCCACTCCTAAAGGTCCTGATGCCAAAACAACAGGATGCTGCTGAACTGAGCTGCTGCAGGCTAGTTACCCTGGTAACAGTTGCCGTGCAGCAGGACCCTTCTAGTCTGACCCCTGAAGCTTGGCTGAACAGCAAACCGTCAGAGCCCCCCTGAGTAAACCTGGCCTCCTCCTGTTTTTTTCTCTGTCCTCTCTCTGCTCCTTCATCTCCTCCCTGATATTTACACAGAGAAACTCACACCAACTCTAATGCTGCACCCCACTGCGGTCATGCACTAATGTTGTAACACAGGGATACAGAGATTAAAATGCTATCAAGGTTTATTTAAGCGGATACCCCCTAGGGCACAGGCTGTGGATTTCCATGGCAGATACAGAAGACAAAAGCTGAGGCAGAGTTATCTGCAGCGCCGCAGAAATGACAAGGTGGAGCGCACCTTGTAGCAGCAGGGATACCTTGATAGCGTTTATCTCTCCCTGCACTGTTGACTGTTGATTTTTCTGGGTGTTGGCCTCCGCTGAGAAGAAGAGGTTGTTTTTGGAACTAACAGCTAATTACCTTACAGGAAGTACCTCCAGAGTGGCTATTAACAAGGCAATCTCAGCTTAAGCTTAAACTAACAACATGCTTTTCTCTTCTATGTGTGTGTGCAGTTATATTGTCCGTGTGTGTGTGTGTGTGTGTGTGTGTGTGTGTGTGTGTGGCTGAACAGCTTTTTTTTAACCCACATAGCTGCTCTCTTTCAGATCCTGTACTGATCTTAAGTCTACCACCTCTATAACCTCCTATACACTGATTTGCTCTTGAGCCTGTTTTACATCAGCATCAGATGTACATTTAACACGTGTTAAACTCTCACACTGACACTCACTCGTCACACTTGTTGTGTTTGTCTAAGATAACTGTTAATATTCCATCCTCTCCCCCCTCACCTGTCCCCAGCGCCCGGAAGCGGCCGATCCCGTACTACCGGCCCAGTCCGTCCTCGTCCAGCTACGACAGCAGCCCGCCACGGTCCAGCCGCAGCCGTAGCCGCAGCTACAGCAGCTACAGCCGCAGCAGGAGCCACAGCAGGAGCCACAGCAGGAGCCACAGCAGGAGCCGGAGCCGGAGCTGGAGTCGGAGCCGCAGCCAGAGCCGGAGCTGGAGCCGCAGCAGGAGTCGCTCCCGCAGTCACCACAGTTACTACAGCCGCAGCAGCTATGACAGCCCCGGCTTCTGAAACGACAACAAGCAGATGGGAAGTCCTGTTTAATCGACTGTGTTCCGGTTCAGTTATTATGTCTCTTTAACAAGCCCTCGACAGCGGCCCGCGCTGCTGTTACAGTGCGGGGCTCAAACTCCTCGACCCACGACCATTATCCCTCTCTCACACAGAGCCTGGATCAAAGAGGAGAAAGGTATTCTGAAAGAGCACATTACTATGAAATTGGGTGTCACTCCTCATGTCTTCACATATCCACGGTATTCAAGGAAATTGGTTACCACATGTCAAAAATTAATATGGTAGAGCCCAAAGAACAAATCTTGCTGAATGTTAGCACTTTCTTCCTCTTCTTCCACAAAACAACCAAAAACGAATTCATTAGAAACTATATACTATATAAATAAATTTATTATACTATATATATATATATACATATATATATATATATTATATATATATATATATGTTATATATATATAGACATCCTAAAAGTAGGAGCTGAGTGGAAGACAAAAAGAAACACATCAAAGGTTTACTGTACATTTCAGAGACTTTTTTTCCCTTTTCATAAACTCATCTCCCCAAAGACTTCCACGTCACTGAAGCACAGAGATCAACAGAAGTGAGAACAAAAGAAAAGTCAGCGGATTAACTAGGAAGCAAAAAAAAGAAAAAAAAAGAATAAAGAAACAGGAACTTTTTTTATGATGAAAATTGTATTGTATAGGTTTGTCTGTATAGATGTAAACTCCTTTAAGTTCTGGCTTTGTAAACTATGCACTGTATATTCCATATAGTTTGAGGAGGTTTGTTTAGCATGATGCATCAGGAGAGACTTGCTGCTCGTAGGAGAGTCTTTGTCGAAATGAAAGATGCCCTCTGACCTATACAGTATGTCAGACACCTGCATACAGAGGTGAAGAGATGGTGACAAAACACGTATTATGTACTTTTACTCTTTTCCCCGTTTAAATGATTATGTTGATTCTGCTAATCCTGTTTGAGTGCATGTATGAGTGTGTGTATGCATGTGTAAGAGTGCATGTATGAGTGCGTGTATGTGTGTGTATGAGTGCATGTGTGTGTGTGTGTGTGTGTGTATGTGTACCTCCTCTGCAATGACCAGTGAGGTAATAGTTCATGTGTATCCACTGTAGCCTGTGTCTACAGCTGCTGTACGGTACTGTACAGGAAAACTGTCTGCAAAAAGCCTCCATGCACACGTTTGCGTTGACCACAGCTATTTATGGATCTACTATATTTATTAGTTTATTTATTGGGTTATTTATTATTTAATTTATTTATCATCATGAGCTGTAAAGCAGTTGGATCATGCTTTGAAGATGAGATTGCTGCAGATGTATTCCCATGTTTTACACACAGTCGGTTTCTTGTTATCAGATTAGCGAGCAGCAAGTAGATTCGCTGCTGTGTGTGTGTGTGTGTAAGATTCTCTGATTTTAGCCGGTTTAACTGAGTCTTCACCCACAGTTACCATTATGGTATCCCCCCTGCCTATAGTAATGGTTCGTTTTAATGCAAGCCATTGTGGCTCTGCCTGTACGGAGAAGCAAGCAACCAGCCTGAAGCCGAACCAAAACATCTCCCTGTGTGGGGAAGACAGTCCGTTATTCTCCATACTGTATGTTTCCAACCACCACGTACCCTAACCCCTTGTACGATGGCTCGCACCGTGTTTCTGAACGTCCCCTGGTTACGGGCTTCAGCCGGTGGATATATGTAACTTTAGCATAGCAGAGACAGCAGCAGCTCTGTGACGCCTCCTCTGTGTCCAGCTTCAGTAGTGCGTTAAATAAACTGGCGAAACAATCAGGGATCACCCTAAGTCTTCCTTACCATTCGTCCAGTCTCACGTCACTCACACAGTGTTGCATTCCCAGTGTGACCTATAAACCCAACTATAATACTCTGCAAACCTGTTTTATTCAAAGCATAGCATTTCCCCTTTGGTTCTACAAGTCATTCTTTGTAATGTACAAGTTATTATACCTGACAATAAACAGAAACAAATGGAGAAATAATGATTGAAGTGCTCTTTTTCTCTCTAAGGTCAGGTGCAGTGATAGTGCGTGTGTTGTCATGCAGACGCTGTGCAGACATTTTCCTACAGAGGGCACTGACGAGAACCTGTCAGTATCTGGAAATGAAAACTGCCCAACAATTACAACTGCAGACAGACCAGACCAGTGGTGATCTATTTTAGAGACTGTGCAGATATAAACACCATGTACCACTCTGTTGAGATACACTGTAACCCTGATCAGATTATATTTGTTTCAAGAAAATTGAGCCAAATCTCTAAAGAATCAAAAATAAATGAAAAAATAATACTTATAGTAAAAAAAAAAAAGAACCAATATTCACCAAAACATGACGTTAAAAACAAAACCTACTATAAAGGGTTTCCCCATTTGATGACAGTAGCCTCCACTTTCATTTCACTGATCCTTTCTCTTTACTGTCCCCTTTTTTTTTATTTTAGTTTTCCCTGCCAGTTTTTATTAATTTCTTTCCCTGTAGAGAGACAGACATACCCCTGTAACACCTGCCTACACAAGACCTGTGTGTCTGAAGCTGAAAGCCAAAAAAGCTTTTTCACAGCAGATATTTTGACTTGTAGCAGGAAAAAAATCAGTGGAACACACTTCACCAAGGATCGCTCACTTCCATCAAGCAGAGGTGGGAGTAAGTCACACATGTGCAAGTCACAAGTAAAGTCATATGAAATTCTGATGATCTTCAACAGTTTTCCCATATTAATCAGTTAAAAGACAGTGGTCATGAAAAACTGGGTTTTCTTTTCAATGCAATGTAGTCTGAGCTGCTGCCCGCCTCCTGAAAATGGAAGTTGATGATTGGTTAATGGGAACGTGAAGAGAAAATCATTAAAAACCTTCCAGCAAAGTGTGTGAGCATAAACTTTAAAATTCAACTATTTAAGTCACTGAGTTAATTTAATTCAATCATAATGAGATCCACAGATGAGAATAAGTTTTGACAGTTGAAATGAAACTTTTGTTAATACTTAGGTTTTTATGAATTTCTTTGTATTTAATTTATTCAGAGAATCTGATGAAATAAGGCACTTATTACTTCTTTTTACTAAAACTGAGTAAAGCCTTGATTTACATTTAGATGTTATTTAATTGTGTGTTTGAGCAGGATAGAAATGTCAGTTTTGTTACTTTAAAGAGAGTCAGGTGTTTTCTCTCTAACTACTTTAGAAAAGTCAGGATTTTTTTGTTTGTAGTAAGTCAAGGTCAAATTTCAGACTGTCCTTTCTATGTTTACACTTTACAAGTCTGTTATTAACACATCCACATGTGTAACATTAGAGCTGGAATGGGGGAAGCCATTCCCAACCTGTCAACTGCTCGTCCCTGTGGATTCACTTCTTTTCCCCGTGGTGTAAGACAGATTCTCGTCCAGCCAAGCGCCTCTACGGTCATCGTGGAGCCACCAAGCAGAGAGTTTGATTCTCCTACCTCCAGCTGTCAAGCCACAGCAGAGCCAAGACACCCAGAAGAGGAAATAGAGACCATAGACCTCACCCAAGAGGACAAGAAGATCTCCATAAAGACACCAGAGAAGAACACCCACTCTGCTGACTCTCCTTCCTCTGGCTTTGAAGCCATCGACAAGACCAAGCTGTTTGTCACCCTGCTGACCGTGAGACTGCTCACTAAGTGTGGTGTTCTGGACATCTGCACGAAGGAGCAATGGGCCACCTACGCCAAACAACTGGTGAACCAAACGCTGCAGGGACTCACTGTGAGAGACGGTTTCTGCCCAGATGACAAAGACATCAAACAGATCTGCAGGGCCGTCATCAAAGATCTCACCAAGAAGCTTGGCGGGAAGAGCTCAATGAAGTTTGTAATCCTGACAGAACAGCCATGTGTGGAAGCGGTCATCGTCAAGTCTTTACAAGCCAACATCTCAAAGCACTCGACTGTGTCTGCAAACAAGAACAAGACATCTGCATGGAGAGAACACTTCTGGCCCGTCATGAGTGTCATCGCTATTTGTGGCTTGTGGTTCATCTTGGCCACAATCTCATAAACTTCTGAAGGTGGCACAGTGGTGCAGCAGCTAGCACTGTTGCCTCACTGTTGCCGGTGTCAACAGGACAGGCTAATGCTGGTGAACAGCCCTGGCCTGTCTCCTATCACTAGTTTATACTGTGCCACACAGGGGGGAACTGGGCTCACTGGTGGTTCTCCACTGAGGCCAGGACCACCACTGCACCCAGTTCCTCCCTGTCTTGGCGTGGGTTTCCTCCGGGTGCTCCGGTTTTTCCCACACTCTAATTCAAACTAATTTGGACAATAAAATCATTCAATTAGTTACTTTTGATTCCTGAATGAACTTCTTCTTAGATATAAAAATATGACATGACATATAATATTTCCTAATCATATTTTTCCATGTTGAATATTAATCATACAGTATGAGTGTAACTTCTTTTAAAGCTTAATCTGCAAAGAAAATTTTAACTCATTTAAATTAAGAAAATATAGTGGAGAAAAAGTTCAATATTTTCCTCTGAAAAATGAAGTAAAGCACAAAATATGTGAGGAAAATCTTAACTTAAGGTGTTTGTGCAATGGTTTAACTTATTTGAAGTGATTTCTTAAATATAAGACCTAAATAATAAGAAAACCTTAAATAGTGAAGTGAACATTTTAAGGAAACCTTAAGGATGAAATAAAGGGTGTTTTTTGCAACTGGTTTCATTTTAAGGAAACCTTAACTCAGACTATAAGGAAAATCTTAACTTAAGGTGTTTGTGCAATGGTTTAATGAACTTTAAGTGATTTCTTAAATATAAGACCAAGATAAGGAGAAAAGCTTACATAGTGAGCATTTTAAGGAAACCTTAAGGTGTTTTGTGCAACTGTTTTTACTGTTTTGCTCTTATTTTGGTAAGTCTGCCAATAGTAACCAACAGACCGGACATTTCAGAACAATACTTTACTTTAATAACAAAATTTGAGCATTTAAAAAAGTGTTAAGTGGTAATAAAATTTCTGTTAGCAATAGAATAAAACATGTTTAACATTTTGCATCAGACATATCCAGTAAAACAAAACAAGATGTTTAGACCTGATATTGAACATAGT